AAGAGTACGGGTTCTATTAGGACACCCCTCACGGCGTGGAGCGTCCTGAACCGTAGGATTGGGGAGGTGGGGGCAGCGATGGTATTTGACTGCCCCTCTTATATATGGGGTGTTCTGGTAGGATTTGCATACATTGATGAACCTCTTTCTTTAGTTTGTAAATAATGCTACCTAGAATTCGGATATTGTTCTTGTGAAGAATGAAACACTTGTTTAATCAACAATCGTTTGCTTATATTTTAAGTTTTGAGATTCATTCTAAATATAACCGTCTATCATATTGAGTACCGAGGACTGACTTGGCAAATGGCGATCTAGTTTGAGCTAGGTGGAAATAAAACTTAATCTAAGCCTTGTCCAACTTATACCTAACAAAACAATTTTTATTTGTGATGTTGGCTCACATTATTGACCATAAAAGGATTAATGCGTGCGCATAATTAAGCTAAGGGTCAAGATACGAATCCAAGTGTCAAATTGGCCATGAATTGCTCTCTGCTGAATTTCCAAGGACTAAAGGTCCAACTTGGTCCACAAAGATCACACTCAAAAAAGAAGAAAGATTTGGTGTTTACGAAAAAGAATGATCCACCACAAGGGAGATCACTCTACGATGCCTACATTGCAACAGTCCAAGATTTGTAGAAGTTTCGGATATCTGTGCGATGTGACTCAAATATAAATATAAATATAAACATGATTAATATGGAAAAAAACATATCCATCGAAATCTAGTGTAGATACATATATACCGGATAAGATAAGAATATATACATGTACGAAATGGATATTAGGATAACTATTAACATTGGAGGACATGTAAATTATGTTATACAATATTGTTTAAAATAAAATGAAATTCCCCGAACTAGATGACATAATAAATGTTCAGTTTGACATATCTTAAAGGCTAAGATTAGATATTTGGATCATATAAATCGGCCACTTACTGTAAGTTCAAAATAATCGCAGCCATCGGATCCATCCCTTTATCTAAATTAGGGTACTTTTACATAAATCCGTATTTGTATAGCGTACCCTATTAAAGGATTAAGAGAGTATATCTATGTATGGAATCATATGCCATCAATCAATATTATGTTGTGTATGAGGTCATATTGGTAGCTAGTTTTTGTTATTGACAACGGAGAAAAACTTAATTAGGGGACTCCTACGTCTGAGAGAGAGCTCTTGTACCATCCTGTTGATAGGTCAGTCCGGGACAAAGCATTATAAGGTCGCAGTTGAACAGATCGAGCAAGTTCGAATTGACAATTCGATCCCCCGATTCAATTGGGGGAAAACGCCTACGAAAAGATCGCTTGGATTTACGAAAGGGTTGCTTGGATTTATCCATGGTTTATTCCTTATCTCTAAAATTCTATTTCTTTATTCATTTCAGATCCAACCAAAATAGCCAATGCTAATTATCGTAGATGTCTCTTCACAATAATTGTGATGTAGAAAGCACCAATTTAAATGGAATGGATTCAAAATCCCCTATACGATTGGTTACAAAAGCTTTTTGACAAGCACTTGCCGCAATTGGTCGTGTGAACCAAAAACCTATTAATAAATAGGAACACATTCCTACAAGTTCCGGGAGTCTGGGCCGTGTCTCAGTCCCAGTGTGGCTGATCATCCTCTCGGACCAGCTACTGATCATCGCCTTGGTAAGCTATTGCCAAACTCTTTAGCAAAAAGATCGTTATATGAGATCTTTGGAATCAGCCCGTTACTGCATTCATTAAGAAAAGTTATGTCTTGGTCCGAGTGGGGATAACATTTCTCTTCTGAGGACTCACCCTGAGGGATAATAATATTAGTTTCTATTCTAGACTATTGGCCACACTCTAGAATCCCCAAGGTCGGCGATTATGTAGATATTGTAGCTGTTTGTGTCATAGTTGAGAGATGGAGGTTGGCAAGAGATCGGGTTTGGACTTTCTAACATCTTGATTGTAGAGGATACCTGCAATTAGTTAGGTGGAAGACTAGTATTATTGTTTTATTTAGATAATTAATGTCATGTATGGCGTCCATTGAGTGTGAGGATTTGATTAGGAAGGTGCAGAGATTTTCGACAATCATGGAGGATCTCTATTTGGATTCTCTACAATCTTGATTGTAGATGATGCCTATAAGAGGGGATGCTTGGTTCTTGGTTTGTTTTTGTATGCATTCTATGAATCTAGAAAAATCCATACTCAAAATCATATTTATTTTGCAATGAATATTAAATTACATCTACATAAGGAATTGATAAATCCAATCTAATGATGTTTGGTTGCACATGCATTTTGTTAAAAATATATGACTAAAATCGTAAATCCGAGTGAAATAACATAATTTTAGGGGATCACATTTGATTCATCTTTCCTACATGTTAATCTCAAAATCAAGACATGAAAAATAACAAACAAATAATGTATTTGATAGTAACCAAGGATTTAAGTTTATGGGTCCATTTTTAATACAAAACTCATAAAAATACATGGAAACAAATAGCGCCTTACTTAGGTGGGCTAATGCTATTGGCTTATCCTAGTAGGTCCCACAATTAAAAAATATTTTTACATCATGTAGATAATTAATATCATTCATGGGATCCCCTGAGAGAGAAGATTTGATCTGAGTTGTAGAGATTCTTAGATGAGCTATGTCTTAGAATGTGAATCATTTTGTTTTTTGTTTTTTTGTACATTAAACAAAATATATACACACAAATCGAAATTACGTAGTTAGTTTAAAATCCTCTTAAGGATTTGTGCAACAAAAGATTAGAAAGAAAATGAACCTATATTTTTGTGGTCTCTATTCAGTTTGTGACACTATGAGGCAAACTGAGCTGACCACTTAAAACGTGTTTCTGCTGTGAAGTTAGTTAGAAAGTATGTAACTTAAAAACTCGGGAAAAAGAATTAAATGCATAATAAGCCATCATACGTCAGTGATAACATCCTAATATCATGTTTCAATGCATGCATTGATGAGTACACATCCTATCAGAACCTCTCGGTACGATGCGAGGCATTCTCATGGTATCACCTCAAGTTAAGGGAGACATTATGGTTATTTTAGTCCTCTCCTCAACAACTGAGATGACCACGCATGATGCATAATTCTGGTAAGCCATCTTGATCATTGGTACGGGGGGAAAACTGAACCTTTTACACTATTAACAAGTATCAGATAAATCCCCACCGCTCTTAATCAAAATTATTTGTTATCTAGTGATCAGATATGATTTTATTTAAACCCTAGCATTTATCATGTTTTCCATGTTTTATAATGTACACAACCATTCATGATAATTTATTACAATCAAAGGGGATTTGAATCCATCGCAGGACCCATATTCTCCAAATTAAAAATCCACATTCTTAATTTAAAGATAATATCCAACTGTGGGCTACATAATTAATTTATCATAATCTTTCTTTTCTTTATGGGACCAACAATCAACGTGGCTGATATCCCCAGAGCAAACCACATCCGCACGATCGATCACCCACAATAATTTCTCCGGACCTAACCCGCGGTGGATCCGAACCCATAAAGTTTCTATACGCCACCCGCATAGCTTTCTATTCTTTTTAAACCAGTGAGTGCGGGATCACGTTACCCATAATCCTGACCGCCCGATCCAAGCACAGGAAAACGTGGCTCGATGGGGAATCGAGCACGTGAGGCTCCAGCTGGCTGGTGGGCCCTCTCTGGCCGATCTTATCCTACTATTCCCTTCCCTCTCCTTTCCAAGATTAAAAGCGAGTAGGGGGAAAAAAGTATCTTAATCAATACTGTCCTTCGTATTAATTTTCCCGTTTAGTGCCGAGAATTAACAGCTGTTGTCTGTCTTTAAATCCAATAATCCAAGAAATTCATTCCTATCGTACATTTATATTTCAACAATTGTCCCTCACATGTTTTCGTATTTTATAATTATCCCCTCGAACTCATTGTAATTGCCGATAGGTTCTCAACTCATGTAAGATGTTTTAGACCGGTCCTAGCGTCACAAAATTTATCCAACTTATTTGGGGTGCATTCAGTCTGGATACGGCTCGGATATGATGCTTATCATATCCATATCCGTTTACCCATCTCGGATACGGATACGGATACAGATATACATTGGTAAGAAAAAATTATAACCATATCCGCTAAAATCGGATACGGTTATGGATATACATGCGGATATATCAGCGGATATGCATGCAGATACAAAACAGATATGAGAAAACTAGATAGTATTGAGAAAAACATAGTTCATGTTACGGATATAGATGCAGATATATAAACGGATATGCATGCGGATACAAAAAGGATATGAGAAAACTAGACAGTATTCAGAAAAATATAGTCATGTGATACAAAAAGATTTCGTTAATATGTTCATTGTGATTGAAAAGCTAAGATTAGACATCTTGATCATCAAAATTAACCACAAATCCATAATCTAAGAATCGAAACTATCGTAAGAGTATGACTAATATGTATTCGGATATTTTCGGATACAGATACGGATATTTCACTACAAAACCATATCCGTTCGTTTATAGATTTGAGTAACCATATTCGTATCCTAACGGATACGGTTACGGATATTTTCTCGGAGACGGATACGGTTTAACACCCCTACAACCTATTAATCACGATTGAATTCGTGCTTATAATTGATTGATGAACTAACCTTGCTAAATTAACCCCCACCCCCTATGCGCTAGTTCTCCTTCTCTCTAGCTTCCATTTCATTTTACGAGAAGGAAAATTTTCCCCGTCTCTTTCCATCGAAAATCAACGCTAAAACGTTCTCTTTCGCTTCGAATCATGTCAAATTTGGCAATTCGGCATAAAAAGTTGAAGTTGAAAGAATGTTTCCTCAATTTAAAGTGGTGCTAGGAAGCAGGGACTAACGATAAATTATCTATGGGCGAATCTCGAGAACCGAGAAATTTGTGGGACTAATAATAACAAAATGACCGACGCTGAAAGCCCCTTATCAGTTCCGTCCTCCACATTAATTTTCCCTTTCAGTACAAAGAACGAGTAACGATCGCCCGGAGGGCCGTTTCAATCTTTTCCGTCCTTAATCCAAATAATCGAACGAAGTCCATTCCAATTTCGCTCCCATTTTCTTCCAATTCTTTCGATTTTATTACAACAAAATCTCGCTCAATCTTTTCCTCATCAAAACCCTAGCTTCAGATCTCGCCCACAATGATGTCGAGATCCTACACCAACCTCCTCGACCTAGCGTCGGGGAACTTCCCGGCGATCTCAGCCGGCGGCGGAGGAGGAGGAGGAGGATTGCGCGCGAAGCGACTCTCCCGCGTGATGACGGTCCCCGGAACCCTAACTGAGCTCGACGACGAGGATTTCGCTAATAGCGTCTCCTCCGATGTCCCCTCCTCCGTGGCTCAAGATCGGATCATCATCGTAGCGAATCAGTTACCCGTTAAGGCCAAGCGAAGATCCGATAACAGCGGCTGGAGCTTTTCTTGGGACGAGGACTCGCTTCTTCTCCAGTTGAAGGACGGGCTCCCCGATGACATGGAGGTCATCTACGTCGGATCCCTCCGGGTCGAGGTCGCCGGCGAGGAGCAGGATGACGTGTCGCAGTCTCTTCTCGAAATGTTCAAGTGCGTTCCCGCGTTCTTGCCCTCGGATTTGCTCGATAGGTTCTACCATCGGTTCTGCAAGCAGCTCCTTTGGCCGCTGTTTCATTACATGCTGCCCTTCTCTGCTGATCATGGCGGGAGATTCGATCGGTCGCTCTGGGAGGCTTATGTTTTGGCGAATAAGTTGTTTTCGCAGAAGGTGATCGAGGTGATTAACCCCGAGGACGATTATGTTTGGATCCATGATTATCATTTGATGGCTCTGCCTACTTTTTTGAGGAGGAGGTTTAATAGATTGAGAATGGGGTTCTTTCTCCATAGCCCGTTTCCTTCGTCGGAGATTTATCGATCTCTTCCGGTGAGATTGGAGATCTTGAAGGCTTTACTGAATTGTGATTTGATTGGGTTTCATACTTTTGATTATGCTAGGCATTTCCTTTCTTGTTGTAGTAGGATGTTGGGTATTGAGTATCAATCGAAGAGAGGGTATATAGGATTGGAGTATTTTGGGAGGACTGTTGGGATTAAGATTATGCCGGTGGGGATTCACATGGGTCAGATTGAGACGATGCTGGCATTGCCCGACAAGGAATGTAGGGTCAAGGAGCTTAAGCAACAGTTTAATGGAAAGACTGTTCTTTTGGGTGTTGATGATATGGATATCTTTAAAGGGATCAATTTGAAGTTGCTTGCTTTTGAGGAATTGCTGAAATCTCATCCTAAATGGCAAGGGAGGGCGGTTTTGGTTCAGATTGCTAACCCGGCGAGGGGGAGGGGAAGGGATCTTGAGGACATACAGGCAGAGATTGTCGAGAGCTGTAAGAGGATCAATGCTCAATTTGGGAATTCTGACTATAGCCCGGTTGTGTTCATTGATAGGCCAGTATCTCCAGCTGAGAGGATTGCTTACTATACTATCGCTGAGTGTGTTGTGGTTACTCCTGTGAGGGATGGAATGAACCTGACTCCTTATGAGTATATTGTGTGCCGACATGGGGTTAGCGGGTCGGAAACGGGTTCAGAGGTTGCAGAACCGAGAAAGAGTATGCTGGTTATATCGGAGTTTATTGGCTGTTCTCCTTCTCTGAGTGGGGCAATCCGCGTCAATCCATGGAACACTGATGCTACAGCAGAGGCCCTGAATGAGGCCATTTCGATGTCTGAAGCTGAGAAGCAGCTGAGGCACGAGAAGCATTATAAGTATGTAAGCACACATGATGTGGCCTATTGGGCTAAGAGCTTTCTAATGGACCTGGAGAGGTGCTGCAAGGATCATTTCAGGAGGAGGTGTTGGGGGATTGGGTTGGGATTTGGTTTCAGAGTTGTGGCTCTTGATCCAAATTTCAGGAAGCTTAATGTGGATTCCATTGTATCGGCATATGAGAGGTCGAAGAGCAGGGCGATATTTTTGGATTACGATGGAACTGTGATGCCACAGGCGGCTATTGATAAGAAACCAAGTGCAGAAGTTATCTCAATCATCAATACACTCTGTGGTGATAAGAACAATGTGGTATTTATCGTTAGCGGGAGGGGAAGGGATAGCTTGGGGACATGGTTTGCATCATGCAAAAAGCTTGGACTTGCAGCAGAACATGGCTACTTTTTGAGGTATTATGCTGCTTCATTTGTGTTACATTGTGAGATGCTTTTTTTATTGACGTATTCTAAGTTTCTACACAATGCAACTGGATAGATTTCAAAGAACAATATATGAGAGGTTTAGTTAAATGCAAAGTGGATAACTTTCTATATGACTCTCATCCTTCATAGAATTGCCTCCAATTACGGTAATGCTAGGATCTTTTGTATATTGGAAGAACATGGTTAAGGAGAGATACTAAAAAATTATATAAAAACGAAATGATAATTTGTATTACTTAAAACAGTTGACTATAGGGATCATCATCAATGCTTAGAATGAATCTTTTCGGGGAAGCATATATAAATAATTTTAGAGAAATTTTAAAGTGTATTTAATATTAATTTTCAAGGAATGAGAGACCAGATGAAACTTTACTCTCTAATTTTATCATTATATATCGCTATTGAAGCATGCTACCCACACACTGTAGAATAAAGGGTATGTTTCCTGTAAACCCTGTGGGAACATTCTTTTAAGGTGTGGTTGCTAATCTATATTTGGTATTTTTACTGTATTTAGTCTTTTGTTACATTAGAAATGAGATTAAAAAAATGGAGTTGATTTTTTCCTTGTTCTTGAAAACCTAGTGACTCAAGAATCTGCAAAATAGTGTATATTTACAGAAAAGAGAACTTTGGCCTTGCTTCTCTTTTGTTGGAAAATAGTATAGTTCTCAGTGTAGTGCTGAAACATTTTTGTGGTATACTTTTAGACTTTTGCCATTGTATACGTAGGAAACAATACTGCCTTTATACAATAACCAGATTCCATGAAGTTTCCTTCTTAGAGGAAACTATTAAAACCCTCCCAGCTTTATATTTCTTCAATATAAAAACTAGAGTATTTGCATAGGTGGTCCCTGGTCCCTGGCTGCATACAATTGGATAAAGGCTGCACAGATTTGAATCTATACTGCGATTTCTTTTTGTTAATCAGATTGTAATCCTGTTTTCTTCTCTTTTGATTTTGTTGCGTTAACATATGTAGGTGGAATAAGGATGAAGAATGGGAGACCTGCAGCCAGGGAAATATCGACTTCAGATGGATGGACATGGCTGAACCGGTTATGAAACTGTATACAGAGTCTACTGATGGATCATATATGGAAGCTAAAGAAAGTGCCCTTGTATGGCACCATCAAGATGCTGATCCAGGGTTTGGATCTGCACAGGCCAAAGAGATGCTTGAGCATCTGGAGAGTGTGCTTGCAAATGAGCCAGCCTCAGTGAAGCCTGGCCAGTATATTGTAGAAGTGAAGCCTCAGGTATTCTTGCAAGTCACGACTACATCTGCGCATGATTTATCTTTTTACTACTATATAATATGGATAATGGCCGCATACAAGTATCTTAATTCTAAGAACACATTAAGTATTTACAGAAAATGAAAAAGGCAGCTTTCCAAATTTAAGTGGTAATCTCGATCATTTTTTTTTTTTACTTTTCTCCTACGTCTTTGTGAAGTTGAGGTTTTATCCCCACATTAGTGACCGTTTCTCCATAGTATGTTCCAGAAAGTTATGAGGGACATAACGTTCTTAAGCTAATAAGCTTATACCAGTCAGCTACCATTGTCCCAATTTTCAGGTAATGGTTACTATTAGGTATAAAAAGCTCACTGTTCAAAGTATCTGCTTTGAAATAAGACTTACTCTTGGTAGTAGTGGAGGTGGTTCATCTTTTCTATTTATGTTTATTCTTGTTGAGACTGTAAGTTGCATTCAGATATCAAGTTATGTTTATCTACTTGCAAGTATATGCCAATATGGATCATAATTCAAATTTCATCACTTTTCTCGTCCTCACATTTCTAAAGCTCCTAATAGGAAGACTGTAAGTAGTACATGACAAAAAACTCAGGGTAGACGAAAGTTTCCATAAAAAAATTTTTTTATTCATTTTCTCAATTCGACGTCATAACTCTGTTACAAATGATACACGTTTCTGCTTGCAATTATATGCCACTATGAGTTAGATCTCAATTGTCATTTTTCTCCTTGTCAATGTTGCTGAAGCCTAAAACTGTATCCTAACCGGAAATCTCAAGTAGTTGATGACCATCTATGTGGCATAGATACCGGTGGATACTGGACACGGTGAATTTGTAAAAGATATGGTACGAGGACGCTGCTATATACATGTATTGAAATTAATAATTTACATAAGATCAATAATATTTTCTCATTCACATGTTATGAGAACTAAAATTCCTGTAACTATTTTCCCCCTTTTATTGCATCGATTATAAATTGGAAAACCACTTGTTTTTGAACTAGATACCTAAAAACATTTAAAATCATAGTTCTGAACTGGTATGAACTGAAATGAATCTGACCCATGCCTAATGAGGTTCAAGAAGTGGATGTGAAGTATAGGATATACGTCCAAGAATTATATTATGTGTTTAAAATTAAAGCTTGCAGTATATAGCTCAATACACTCCTGAATAATTTTATATGCATACATTCAAAGAGTATCACTGTACACATGATTGAAGTGTCCAAGAAGTGTCTGCTACGGGCACAGTTTCATGATAAAGTACCTAATTAACATAGATGACGATAAATTCAATGGAGAAGCAATAGTATTGAAGCCTGAAATGACTACCCATAATCTCAAATCCCTTAAAAATGTAGACATTGTATATAGAGATTAATGGGTATCATATCCCACATGGGAGGATTCTCTTATATACAATGACGTTGTTGAATGTCACCCAAATGTGGTTACGAGCTATTCTCTTGGCTTTATTCACCTGGTTAGATTCATTCTCCTGTATTCACCTGGTTGGATTCAACCACGTCACTTTATATCAGTTTATATGATAAGGATCACCTCATGTGACAAGGTTGCCCATTATTCTCATCAAGAGGCTCAACACCATTCAACTCGGTTATAGATGATGATTCATGTTTATTTTCTTTTCATTCCCTATGCAGGGGGTGAGCAAA